CAGATTATAATGACTCTAGGAAGAATGAAGAGTGTTTTTTGTGTTTTGCTTTTTTCTCCCCCCCTGCACTGGATCTTACACAAGGTAGATGTTCAGTAAAGACTTACTGAAGTGAAATAACAAATGTTGTAACTTTGAATCACACCTCTTTTTATTCTCTCACTTTAACTATGTCTTTAAATTCCCTCAATACGTTTTGCTCTTCAGTGTGCAACTTTTATTTATAGGACAAATTAAAAACAATCTAGGGTTATATTTTCCCACAAGTAAGTACCTTGTCTTTATTCATAGCAACGGCTGAAAATATCTAACCAGTTCAACTTTATATAATCTTAAAATCTTTGTAATAATTTGAAAATATTAGTCTTATATAGGTGTCCAAAATTATTTAGGTTATATAGGTGTTTAGTTTTTAAGCCCAGTTTTTAAGATCATGGAACCAAATACTTTTTAAAGAGCTCTTCACAGCTAAGTTGATGCACATGAGGCAGAGCTTATGTTCAGGATCACTGAATGCATGAGAGAAGGAAATACCACCAGGGAGACAAAAAGGCAGGACACTTGCTTTTTCACTGAGCCAGGGAAGTGCTGCTGTTTTCAGGGCCTTAGCATAATACCCTGGCTCCTTTGTACAGCACTGGAATGAACAGGAACCAGACGGGCCCTGTTACTAGGTCACTTCAGGTTTCTGACCTAAACCATATTCAAACCACACCAACTCAACGCCTTTGTCACCAATGACTTTAAAGGTAAAATAGTGCCCATTGGGAGATAAGCAACTTTGTGCCCTGCAGGGAAGTAGCCTTGTTAGTGGTTCTCAGCCACCATCAATTTAATTCCCCTTTTGAAAAGGTGGGGAAAGGAAGATGTAGGTGGAAAGAAGATCCATTATTTTTAGCTCTGTGCCGTGTTGAAAAGAATTTCATGCTGTCTTTTCCCTGATTAAATTAAAACAGGGAAAAGTTGCTTTCTTAAATAAAGACTTATTCTATTCTAATGCTTGCTATCAAAATATGACAAGGTGTTAAACAATCTAATTGCAGAGAGAGTGGCCCTCATTTAACTACAGCATCAAAGCAGGTGATCCATGAGCTGTCAGATGTCACAGCTGGATCTCTCAGACATTGTCACCTGCAGAATGTATACATACCTTCCTTCACGGACTATGTTCAAACCTGGGATTTTATAAAAGCAAATGTAGTCCATTAGGGGGCATTTTTAATTCTCCCAAATATCTTTCCTAGCCTATACCAGAACACTACCCTTCCCAAATTGTGATTCTATGTGAAACCGTCATTCCCCTTGAAATCCTGGCATGCTAGCCACAGCAGAACTTCTTAAGAAATAGAAGTACATTTTTACAATGTACAAAGAGAACCAGCTCAACCACAATACATTCCTGTGGGGATTGCCTTCAATCTATATATTACAATAATCATTATGAATTTACAATTCCAAATTCCAGCAGAGTGAAATTTGGCAGAACAACCCAGTTCAGGGAAAACAATGAGAGGCTGCCTCCGGTGTGTGTTGGACACGTGGAAAACAGTACGTTACATATCGAGGGATGAAATCAGAGAAAGCGAAGGTAAGTTTAGATACAAGGAAAGCTGGGGCACCCTGAACAATGGCAGTGCTCTGGGGCCCTGGGCAGTGGAATTGCTAAGCGGACATAGCATGGCGTTCAGGGGAGGCTGGGCAGGGTAAAATGATGCGATGCCTTCAACAGAAAGGGTAAGGAGGTGACGAGAACGTCTGCCACAGGAGGATTTTATCGGCGCTTGAGAAGCAGTCTGGGACATAGCGTTATGAAAATACTGCTTTTCATCTTGCTCACACCCCAGGTGATGCATTTGCAAGAAGGCTCCTTTTATGTCTAATTTATTCCTCCTTTGTTGTCTGTACTCAAGTATCTGTACAGAGGGTGGTTCATTCCCCGTGCACACAGAGAACACCTGTGAAGGACAGGCCTCTGGTCTAGGGGCTCCGGGGAACACAAAGGGGAGTAAACGGGCTGACCCGCCCTCTGTGGTGTTGCTACCTAGTACAGACACACCAGTACACCACGGAAGGATGGGAGCAGAGAAAGGTGGCCACAATTCATTGGGAGGAGTGGACCACATAACTCATCAAGATTCACTCACAGTCCCTGGACTTTTGAGCATCAATCTACTCTGCCCTTCCTCACCAGCTACATGCTCAGGGAACAACATAAATGTTGAACTTGCCTGCTCACTGAACCATCTACCTAACCTAATTATATACCTCCAGGGGGAGAAATGGCTTGTTTTCGGAAGTATTGATGATAGATGCAAAATGTAAAGTTTATAAAGACCTGAGTTGGGTAAAAAATCCATAATATGATACCTGGCTGAGGGCACTGATTGGTGCAAATGAGGCATCAGGCAGGTACCGGTCTACAGTTGATGAGAAATGTTAGAAACGAAATTATAAATGTATACATCTGAAGTTGTTAGGGGATAACAGAAAAAAGTCACTCAAGTGTCTCAGTACCAAATAAGGAGAGAAAATATTCATTTCTCTAAGAATATAGAGGGGTTATTACTTGAATCTGAGGGAAAGGTGTCCTCTTACACATTACATCATCTTGGGAAACATTGAGGAAAATGAAATTTTAAGCTTAATACTTCAACTATTTGTCAAAAATTAATTTTCTGTCAAAAATATTCCCTTCCCACCGCTACACCCACTCCTGCCTCAATTCGGCAAAGCAAATTCAATTTCATTCTGGCCTAATGACAACAGATGGCTTTCATATTAAGCAATTTGAGTTATGTGGCAGCAGACAGTATCCTCCACAAACATTTCTGTTATCTCCTATCAACTACAAAATCAAAAAGATGAGTGATACTTAAACTAGACAAAGAAAAAAAAAGACCTTTTCTTAGAATACAGTTTCAAGTATCAAACTGAAAGCCATCGTTTCTTACCTATGGGATTACCAAGCATTCTGCTAAAATGGTTTTTATAGCTGTTAAGCCCTGATATTTTATTTTTGACATGAGTTTTATACACACTTATTATATAAGCCTTCTCTCTCACTTGCCTTTTCTTCTCTCTTAGCTACAGAGCTAATCGTGTTAATCCAGGGTGAAGTGATGAGCCAAGAATGGTAACTAAGAAAGAATATTTTCTCAGAATAGTAGACAAAAGACAGGTTTTTTTGGAAGGAGGTAAGTATCTAGAAAAACACAGATCATATCACTTCAAAGTGCGGTACCTCAAACAGTCATACCCATGACAGCTATTCTTGAACAGTACAACGGCTTCTTGGGCCAAGGCGTGGAAAAATATAACTGCCCACCTCTGAATAACAGAGCTCTCGGCTGCAAGATCCACTATGTAGTTAAAAAAAGAATTACATTTTACCGTTTCAAAAGCTGTTACTCAATATTCTGACCAACATGGAAACAAATGTAAAAACTGCGTATTGCCAAAAATCTTGTACCGGTATGTGAAACATCTGGGTTTTCTCTTTCAATTCCTATGGTTTTCCCTCCCCACCTTCCTGGAGTAACTTTTTCCGCAGGCTTCTAATAGCCTCCTTCTCCAATGTGTCCTGGTCCCCGGCTTCAATCTGCACATTCATCCTGTTTCTTTTTGGCTTGTAAACCTTCGACAGCTGGTCAGTATACAAAAGAAAAGTTGGAATCCCTTGGCTTGGCATTCAAGGCCCTGCAAAATTTGACCCCGGCCTACCTTTTCACCATGTGTTAGCCTCCCTTCGATAGGCACCTCTTTTTTCCTCTGAGCCTCTAATGATGGTTCAACAAAGCAATCCAACAGCCTTCTTCACCTCTGTTCAGGATAACCTCCCCTTATGCAATGTCTCACTCAACCCCCATGTAACGTCTTTTCCATGTGCCTCTGCTCATCCAGTGTTTTCCCAAAATTCAAGATGTAGCTCAAGTTACCCCACAGCTTTCTCTCCTTCTTGAATTGATAAAGCATTTGACTGAAGAGCCGTCATTTGCCACAGGATCTAGAGAGACGCTGAGATCATGTAAACCCAATCCTTCATTTTCCACATAAAATCATCTTTTACTTTGTGCTTTCATATAGTTCCCATCTTATATTTTTTCATATGTCCCATAGGAAATAACATAATGCAAGTATGTTGTTAATTTATTAGGTGACACTGTGATAAATTTCACTTCTTCAAATGTATCAAAAAATCAGCCCGTAATTCCTTTGGTAGAAGGTGGTGAGAAGAGAAACAGGGCATCGTGACATAGTCCCCTAAAAATTCACATCAGCATAAAAATACCGTTTTTAATTACCAGCTAATTTTGGCAGACATGTCTGTCTGGGCCTCAACACATCAGGGACCTTCAAAGAGGGGTGATATTTTAGGTGGGGTAGGCCCAGGGATGGAATACACTGTTTCGCATCTTCCTGGGAATTCATTAAAAAGCTGAGAGCGTAATGATTTGCTTGTGTTGAAGGTTTTGGGCTGCACCAAAATTAGACCCACGACAAAAGAGCCACGTCAAAATGCCATGCATCCCCCAGAAACTGGCCTGGTTTTAAGAATTTTATTTCTGGAGCATATATCATCTGCATGTACAGTGTAATCGAAGTGCTCCCAATATACATTTTACCCAAGCAATATCCCATCTGATTATTTTCTATAAATCTTTTCTAAAGTAACATCTATAGATCACAAACAAAATAAAGACATTAAGCAGCATTAATAGTGTCAAAACCACTGCAGGTGTTACAGATCGTACTTCAGAGCACATTGCTATGAGGTACTTAAATATACTACAAATGTTACTTTTCAGAAGTATTGCCACTGTAAATCCCTCTAATGCAAATTTAAGTGTCACGCTAATAAATGCTACAAAGCAAGAATGTGCACTGGAACAAAAACTTAAGAGATATACAGTATTTTCAACTGAATTACATTTAACTGAAGTGATTATTTATATTAATGAGTGTATTTGACAGGTACAAGAAATAAACTGTAAAATTCTTACCTTGTGTCTGTTTCTTGTTCACTGCGTTATCAGCTTTATGTCGTTTCTAAAGTTTAAAAGCAAAAATAAAAAGGTGAAAAAGTGAATAAGAGGACTAGAACAACATAGCACCTACAAAAAAAGAGATTTCTCTAACTTATGTTTCTCAAGGCTTTTATCCTTTCATACTCAGGAATTTTCAAAATGAACACAATACACAGCATCTCTATACAATAGTCCTTTTCTGGGAGTATAGATATATGGTCCTTGGAAGATCTTACATTATCATGTAGGTAAAATTAAAATTTTAACGTATGAGAAGAGTTAAAGATGAAAGGTTGACCTAATCTTTTGCTTAAAGAACTCACTTAAAAAAGATTACCCAAGATAATTATTATGATTGTCATTTAATAATGGTACTGAGATATTTTCAAATTATGAAATTGATTACCTCATTAAACTGAGTATATCATCTATAATTTAATGATGTGCTGTTGTGTAGAAACAAGTACATCTACCACTTGCATACAGCCTCTTCCATCCACTGCTCCCCAAGAGCCACCATCCCCCCAAATCACAAGCCATTGATCACATGATCCTATTCTCCTTCTTCCCAAAACCAGTGAGAAAAAAAGTCAGTAAGTAGTAAACAGGTGAGCTAGTCTATGTCTAGGTGGGTGAGTTTGAAGAGCTACGTAAGTCAAGGTTTATAGCAGTAAGAAAAAAGAAGCAGGAGGCCAGAGGAAAGGACTGAATGTGATTGACCGGGGGAAGCTAGAGGTTTTCCATGGCGTCCGTCTAAACTTACAGCAGCGTGTGTAACACACACTTCAGCCTCTGCTGATGTTGACGAAAAGTGTTGAGTGTAACTCACTGATTGCTCAAAGATTCCGTCACATAAAACCCGTGGTCACATGTAGCTGCACACACCTGACTGTAAAGTAGGACGGAACAAACGCAAAATAAATGGGTTCCCACGTTTTCCACTGAGAAGAAACGTGGTTTTTAGGACCACAATGTACATATTAAAACACTTTCTAAGGGAAAAGCCTGGAGTTGTGGATTAGCACCCTCCAAGACACGGCAACACGCAGGAGGAGTGGCCTAACAGCTGGCAGAGTGAACTCACTTCATCCCAACAATCAGCCACTGAGCTGTGCAAAATGCAAATAAGCTTTCAGATACTTCTGTGGAAGGCTTGTTGAAAATAATTCTTGCCACATCCACATGTGGGAACACACTACAATTCTTTCTCAGAATAAAACTCTCACTAACAAAAGCATAATAATGTAGACTTTTAACAGGCAAGTTATTGCTTCCAAAAGTAAGCATATGATTTGCCAGCAAATATTCTTAACTGAATTTAAAGTTCTGTTAAATTTGTGGCTTCTGTAGAGCATATTTTATAATTCATAAAACTCTAAAATGCTTACTCATTCTTGTTTGTTAATAAAGATCTTAAAATTAAAAGTAACCCCAAATAAATTTTAAACCCCAATAATGATTTGGGGTAGAAATTAGATATTCAGAGCAGGTGCAAATGTTTCTAAAACAATGCATATCAACAATATACAATAGTTAAGACTTTTAATTGGAGGAGACAAATAAAAGCTAACTAATGAAACATGCCACTTCTACAGGAAATTTAATCTTAGTGAAACCTAAGGAGTTCCTGAACATTACTTTCCATCTACAGAGAATTCTTGTACAAGAGCATCTCTTTCCTCAACCTTTCCACCACAGTAAACTAGGTTACTTGTCAAGACAATTGTGCTGAATACACACGAGGATTCACCTGGACAGACAGATTCTAATCTTATGACTATAAAAAAAAAAAAAAAAAAAAAAAGAGCATCGCTGTATCTTACTAAGATGATTATTACTTCTTCTAAATGTAATAGTTCAGAAAAATTAATATAGTTATTCTCTGAGTTCAGATATTTCCACTGTCCTGTAATCAGAATTCATTAATACCCCTGAGAACTAGTGAACTGTTTAATATTTTCAATACCAGGTTGGCAGAATACCAATAAACTGTTCTGTGTAAATAGCTCCATGAACTTTAGGGTACTGAGGTGTGCAATCCTGACCAACCCTCCTTCTGGGAACTCTTCCCTCCTAGGCAATTCTCGTAGCATCATTATCCAGGTCTTCCTGCACCTGGGCCCCTTCTTGCCTTCTTGCCGGTGATGCAGTGTACAATTTTGGAAGGCTTACTCTCTTGCCCTCTTTGCTTCTCACTCTAAACTCTCTCAGTTCATTCATACTTGCAATTCCAATGATAACCAATAAATAAATATATACCAGCCAAGACTTTTCATCTGAGCCACAGACAGTTATATCTAGTTGCCTCCTTGGGCATCTCAAGCTATGCCTAGAAACAATCTATGACTTTAACCCCCAAGGCTCTGTCCTTGTCTCAGACAATGAACCATATACCATGTACTCATACAAACCACGAACCTGACAGTCATCCTTGTACTTCCTTCTCCCTCTCCCTCCCATACAATTCATTTCTTCATTCAATAAATGTTTACTAAACACTTAATAAGTGTCAGTCCCTGTTACTATAGCTAAGGATACAGCAATGAACAAGAGACAAAACCTCTTGCTCTCATGGAGCTTACATGCTCATGGTTAGAGACAGAATATGAACAAAATAACTAGGACATGTAGCATGTCAAATGATGATAAGTCTTGCCCATTTTACTCCTAAATATATACTGAATTAACTTTTCCATATTTCTTCCTCTCTACCATACCACTTAGTTTAGGATATTTTCATGTTTTCATACTTGCTACTAGAATACTCCTCTAATAAGTCTACCTACATCCTCTCTGCTTTCTTTTCAATCCATTTCCTACAATTTAGTCCAAAGGATCTTTGGGTGATGACAGTACAGTTAACATATATTCAGCACTTACCATACACTCGGCACTAAGGACCTCACGTACCTCATTTAATTCTCATGTGAGCTGGCATGGCTGCTCGATTAATGTCTGTCTCCTTCACTGGCCTGCAGGCTCCCTCAGGGTGACTTTTACTCACTAGCATATACTCCGTATTTGAACTCTGAACCTTGTAGACTTTTAAAAGTATTTGTTTCATGATGAATAAAACTTATCAGTGTTTAAGTTAACAAGTTCATAGCAAAGAAGGCATGTTTTTAGTGGTGGATATTATTAACAAACAGCCTTGACCCTTACGATGAGAACTGGTATTTGACATATGCACTTCTTTTGTTAAACTAAGATCTCTCCATCAATTTTACAGCATTTTCAAGTAAAGATATCTCATTTGTTACTTACACAAAGAAACAGGAAATCATATATGTTAAGTGGCCCAAAGCATCAAGAGTTAAAAGGCACTGGGATGGGTAAATTTTAGGTATCCGACCTAAAGGCAATTAGTACTATGCTTTAATCTAAAATTTTAAAAAATGTTGTTTAACAGAATGTAAAGTAAGTTTCACTAGAATGTAGGCTTTGTTTTATTCACTGACATAAGAATGGTAGACATTATGAGTCTTCATCAATATCCAGTTCTCCTCTGCTTCTATGGACACGGAGATTATACCTCCCTTCTGCACGTCACTAGCTCTAATATGAGGCTGACCGCAGATGTGACGTGCGCCATTTCTGGGCCAAAAGAGAGAGGAAATGTGATCTCCATTCCTTCTCTTTCCCTAATCCAGTGACGACCAGCGTTTCACACGGCAAAGCCTTGATTCAGCCACGTCCCCAAGTGACTATGTGAACAAGGGTGTCTCCTGCTCTACCCTGGCCGACAACGGCCTGAAGTGTGTTTGAGACATAAAAAACAAACTCGTGTTTAAGCCACTGACATGCAAGCCATGGTTATTACTGCAGCAAAAGTTTAACATATCTTACTGCATATGCTAACGAATGCCTGCCACCTAGGTACTGCTTCATATATTTTTGTTGAATGAATAAAGGAATATATGTATTCATTATAGCTACTGATAAAGGTACTCTTTGTCCAACTATCTAATCTATTATTTGATTTTTTTCTTTTCTAGGAGGTAATATTTCAAACTTTACATCAGCTATACCTTGACATAAACTCCTTGTTAAACCAATCTTACAGACCATTTTTAGTTCATTTCTTCATACTTATTTTATTAGAAAACTACTTCAAATGATATTATTATTTCCCTATAATACTAATATTACATCTCTCAGAAACTGTCTGATTAGCTGTGTTCTAATAGTACCCAATTATGACACCATGCCAATAGGAGTTTTTGTTTAAAAAATAAAAAGCAAAAACAAAACAAGAAAACCATCCTTGGCTACCATTCTAGTTAACATGCATTTTCATAGTGAGGGGTACTGAAATCATAGCTAGAGAGCTTATAGTTTTGCTAAGCAAAAGAAAAAAGAAACAGGCCCTGGCTGGTATGGCTCAACTGGTTGGGCATTGTCCTGCAAACTAAAAGGTTGCCAGTGCAATTCCCAGTCAGGACACATGCCTTGGTTGCAGGTTCAGTCCCTGGTCTGGGCATGTTCAGAAGGCAACCAATGATGTTTCTCTCTCACATTGGTGTTTCTTTCCCTCTCTTTCTCCCGCCTTTCCCTTCTCTCAAAAATAAATATAAATAATGTTTTTAAATAAAAAATAAAAAGATAGGAGAGGCAGTATAGAGCAATGATTATAAGAAAGGGGTTTGGAGCCTTGTCTGAACCCCAACAGCCCCACTTAAATAGCTGTGTGACCTTGGACAAGTTACCTTACTACTCTGTGCCTCCTCACCTTCACCTGTAAAATGGGGATAGTATTTATTCTTTAAAGAGTTGTAGGAAGATTTAGCAAAGGATACAAAGCAAGTACATGAAACCTGAGGTTCACTAACTATTATTAATATTATTGCTGGTGACTTGCCACAAAAATAAAGGGGAAGAGCACTGGATGGGATAGAAATTCTATCAGTTTCTTGGGCAGGTTACACGACCTCTCCAAGCTTCAGCTTCCTTACCTGTAAAATGGGGTTAATGTCCAATTTTCAAAGTTAATGAAGCAATTAAATGGGAAAAGCATTTGTAAAAACAATACCATAATGCCAAGTAAGTAACAGATGCTCAATGAAAACTAGGTTAAACAAAGAAACAAAAGGAAGTAGAAAAGGCAAAGAAAGACAAAATTGTAGTAGAGGCCAGTGCTTATGGAGTGCCAAATCCAAGCATAATTTAAAAGATAGTAAGTCGTTGTGAACTGTACAGTGAGAAGAGAGTCCCTGAAATTTTCAGCTAGTGGTCCCATCAGTATGCCATTTTCAGTCAAGAACACTAGGATGTTTTACACACATGCATGTGCACACATACATACAACCTCTGTTTGTACTCTTAGACACTTGGGTGTTTTTGAGACTGATGACCTAAAGGGTCAGCTGAGCCATGCCTAATGGGTCCAGTGATGTTATGGCTCATGTGTTCTTAGTGAGATCCCAACTTGATCCCACAAAGTCATAACAGTAATGTCTGCATAACTTTAAATTGGAGCTTTCTAAAGAATGGCTCAGCCTTTCCTCCCGGTACCATCTGACTCGCCTGAGGCTTCACAAAAGGTCATTTCCGACAAGCAAATTATTTAAAGGGCAGAGGAAAAAAATACTGGTTTCCTCAACTAAGGTAGTTAAAATAACAGTTAAAATAGAAGAAATAGAAAAGCCTGAGTTTATTTTGGGGAATGTATTTTAAAAAGGGGAAATTGACTTCCCCTTTTCTCTGCTACTATGGAAAAATAAAAATAGAAAATTTGCTGTTACTTTCTTTTAATAAAATGAGATTTAAAAAAGGGACTTAGAACTACTAAACTAAGATTAAAAAGCATCATAGGTATTTAATGAGGTGAAAACTAGGGTATATAAATTAAAAAATAAAAAAAATAAAGCCTTTTACATTCAGAGAATTTGGATGTTCTGTTTAACTTGAAATTAATGTTCACACTGAAACTTGAGCATAATTAAAAATAATATTCAAATATATTTTTCTCTCTAAGCCAATTACTACTTTCAAATTAACTTCTTTAATTAATAAACTACAAACATAAGAAAACACTGTAACAAGCACTTGCAACATTAATGCTATAGAAATGAAGAGAAATTGACTCTAGAGGTGGGAGCCATATTCTATATACTTTCAAGTTGAAATGGGCACTTCAAGTAGCCTATGCCAAGAATTAAAATATTTAAAGAAGAAATATTTTAAAATATGTATATAAGAATAAGTCATATTAATTTATGAAAAAATTAAGTACTTACAATATCTTCTATTATCTCTTTGATAGCTGCCACAGCTAAAATAAATAAGAGAGGAACCAGTGTTGTGTAGCGACCTGTTGGCGATACATCAGGTATTTGCTATTTGGAGGGGGAAAAAGAGAGAAATGCAGTGAGAACTATCAAGTTGACAATACATTTAAAAACAACGAAATCTTAGGGCCTCTTAAAATATGCTTCCTTGATTTTACTACCTTGACAGACTAACACTGGGTAAGGTAATTTGCTCATATCTAATAAGTAGCTGGAACAGCTTGTTAATTAGCTTCATCACAAGCAGTTGTGAGCGGAACTAACACCAACAAAGGGGGATTGGTGAAATAAATTACAGCAGATCCACATAATAAAATATTGTACAACCATTAAAAATGATATTTTAGATACACCATGAATCACATGGGAAAATATCCACATGCTACTATATGGGTAAAGAAGGTTGTTAAACATATGTATTCTATGATCCCCTTTTTGTAAATTAAATTAATAAACAATGCTTCAGAAAATAAATAGAGCAGAAGAATGTACACCCAGATTTTAAGAGAGTAGTTGCTTCTGGGTGGCTGAATGAATCATAAATTTTTTCTTTATATTTTGTTGTGTTGTCTAATTCTTTTTTACAATGAGTGTATGCTATTTTTTAATAATACAAAATAAATAATAAAAGTTGTAGTCAGAAAATAAAAGAAAAACTTTTTTTTCTGACTACAACTAACTCAAATACAAAGAGAAACAAGTTTAAAGTGGTAATTCTTGTATTCTAAGGTTCCAAAATGATAGCTTCACTGTTACTAAAATAAATTAATACTAGAAGAAGTCCCATATCCTTTAGCACCCAAATGAATAGTTTACAAAATGTTTAAAATAAGCTGATAAAAATGAATCAGAAGGCCTAAAGAGGCAGTGGAATTCTAACACTGCTTGTAGCAGGGGCTGGAAATGTCTGCCCAAACCGGCTGATTTCTCTGTGCTTGGATAAGCTTCAGAATATTGGTCATGGGCATTTTTAAATATCTGAACATCTGATGTTGAACTCAGACTTTATGACACGGCCTTACCTGGAGCAGTGCAATAAAGAGAAAAAACGAATTGGCAGCTCTTCTGAACTGAGAGTAGAGAAATCGTGGAAGGAACGTGATTATGTTGTATTTTGCAGTGCTAGAAAACAAAATGAAAAGTTGCGCAAAAATGACTCCACAATTAGCCCCAACATTTACAAAATTCTATTCTCACCGTGTAAAAAAAATCAGATAATGGACATCTGCCTTCTGTTTCAAATTGGGAGAATACTACAAATAGTCATTAACCTAAATGAAAAGGAGTGAAAGGAACTATAAATAATAGTAAGACTTTAATTTTCTGCCTAAAGTCTTCTGTTCTCATTGGTCAATCATCCTGTTTCACATAAGTAGGAGTAGCTTACAAAGAAGAGCAACTTTAGTTAGGGTCATTTATAATATGTTAATGGAAAATGAAATCTTGGCAAAAAAATCAGCCATTTTAGCAGGACCAGAAACTTTAAATAGAGACGCCTTCTTTGGATAACTTCAGAGAAATGGGGAGTTTTCTGGGTTTCTGTCTGAATTTTCTTTATGGCCCCCCTATGAACTTGGTTAGGACTCCCCACTAATGATGTCAGATAGAGCCACAGTCAGATACCATCCTTCAGGTCCTGGGACATCGAATCTTCCTCTTGTCAGCTACACAGGGAGGAAATTAAAGGGACACGTGCCACGCCTCAGGCTGTGAAAAGTTGCTCTTGAATTTGAAGTTATAAATATGTATTTTAAGTGGGCGTGTCTCAGATCTAAGAATTCAGCCCCTGGAGAAACACTGGACTGGTGATGGGGGTGCTCACTGGGTTCCAGAGGCCACTTACTGAATACGGCCTATAACAGAGACACTTTTTATATTATTGTTGGAATGAAAATAGAACAACGAAGTAATTCTCACAGCCCTCCATGCCTCATCACCATACTAAATTCTGCAACTATCAAAAGCCAATATTCAAAGATTATTCAATCAAAAGGAGTTCTCGGTGAAGAACTGCAAAGACTTCTACTAAAATGTTAAAGCGTGTTAACTCAAAACAATACCCTATCTGTTCTATAACAGGTTTAAGACAAGGGTATTTACCCAGGAGCAGCTGCTTATCCTTTCTGTCCCTTCCTGCTTCCAGATTCTAACTAACATCTCCTGATTGGCTAGCTGGAGAAATAGCCAACTGACACCGCCTCCAGCAAGCTCTCCAATGTTAACTGATTTCACTGAAAGCTCCGTGTAAGCATTTTCGTTCTGGCTGGGATAGGGCCTGCAGGGCTCTGCAGCAATAGCTGGCCCCACACCGTTCCTCAGCAGTTCCTACCTGACTTGGTTATTGCAGAATTTAGTCAGCTGGGGCTGGTTGATAAATATAGTCCGTATTTCCTCCTGGTCTGCCAGTGAAGTCTTCTCTGAAACATCATCGGTCTTCTCATAACCTTAAAGAGAGAGAGAGAGAGTCTTCTTATGTGATAAGAAATATTACATTTTATTATCTAGCTGGGGTGTCTAACGGATGGCTTGTGGGCCACGTGTAGCCCAGGATGGCTGTGAATGTGGCCCAGTACAAAATTGTAAATTTACCTAAGACCTTTTTTTTGTTCTCATCCGTTTTCATTAGTGTTTGTACATCTAATCTGTGGCTCAAGACAACTCTTCTTCCAGTGTGGCCCAGAGACACCAAAAGGTTGGATAGCCCTGACTGATTCTAGACCAAAACCACATTTTGTAACTATTCCAGAATCTAAAATCTGTAGTACATGACACATGTCTCCCTTACTGGTATTCTTGTTTCTTTCATAATAAAAAGAAAAATCCCCACATTTAACATCTGTACTAAATTTAAAAGGCAGCATTTAATAATGTAAAGACAGACCTATTTCAAAAATAGTAACATCAATTTTCAGTTTTTGTTCATCCTTCCCCCATACATGCTCAACTTACTTTATTTCCTTCCATTACATGAGCATAGGTCCAAAAATAACAAAACATTTTGCACTGGTTTACATTACAGTTTTAGACAACATTAATAAGACAGAGGTAATTTCAAATATATTTTAAAAATTAAGCATACATATTTAATGCTTTTGTTTGTTTGTTCTTTACTTTTTGTATGAAGACAGAGAAAAGATGAACACTGAGGTTTAAAAAGGTAACCACCACAATTATTTAACTCACTATGCTAATCTCGCTCTTTCCACTAATTAGAATTTATGTTCACAAACAAATTGAAAATGTTTTAAGATGAAACATTTCAAGTCATCTCACAATTGCTGTAACAAGACAATAGATTCAGGCAATTTCTACTGGGTAACACATGATGGCAAAGTTGGTAATATTAAAAAAAATACATATATGTTCTAGAAGAATAAAAAAATTTTAACTGCTTATTTTACCCTAGCAAGAAATCAACAAGACCGGATTAAATCATTCCCGTATCCCTCTCCTAAAAAAGGCTCACTACCAGTACTTTATCTCCAACACCTGTTTTTCTTCTCTTTTTCTGCCAGGCCAATGCCAACTCCTTCCTTAAGATCAGCAACATGGGGTCCTTCCTGAAGTTTTTATGATGCTAAATTCAGTGAACCTTCCCTGTGATCCTACCTACAGGCGCTGTGCCTCCCTCCCCTTCCCAGCAAAAACACTTACATGAAGGTTTTGATACAGCCAGCTTCTGAGTCCGTCTACCCCCGCCTGAATGGGGACCCTCTGCGGCCACAGGTCGCGAGTTACTCATCTCTCTAACACCAGTACAGCAGGTACACAGCAAATGTTTGCCAGATAAATAAATGCCAAATGACTAAGGAGGCGTTATTTGGCCGTTTGGTTTTTTTTGTTTTGTTTTGTTTTTTAAGGGCAAGCAAATGCTTCTCCACCCACTGATAAGGACGCTAAAGCAGCCACGAGCTGGAAACACACTGTGTAAGAAAAGCTTGCCGAGGGTTTTATTGCTATATGAAACCAGACAATCATTTAGGCTTTCTACGAAAGTGAGGAACGGGAGCACAGGGACGGGGCTGGGTGCAGGGGGTGGAGGGGCAGGGGCCAGGGTAGTGCAAGGCAGCGGGGCGCGAGCAGGGCAATAAAGCTGAGGCACAGACCAGAGGCAAGGTAGAGGCAGGAGAGATGCGGCACTAAAGAGGCACACAGGCTGGGTCTCAGAGGACCTCTCATGCTTCCAGAGAAGTCTGGATCGCATCCTCTGGTTGGCAGCGAGCCCCTGAAAGCTTTCCAGGCAGACAGGCACGCAGCAGAGTCACATTTTATACTCATTGCTCTGGAGGTCACAGGGCTCCACAGGAAGGACCGCGATCATCATTTTACAGTTTTAGACACACCAGCAGCTTCGTCTGTGGTCACATGGTCAATAATGGTCTTTCACTACGGTATGTTTTACATACAACACAAGCTTTCCCCCCTCGTTTTATAGAATCAAAATTTCACTTATTATAGACCAAATGATTTTATGTTTCCTCCAAACTTCATTATGTTGAAATCCTATCCCTCAAAGGGGTAGTGTTTGGAGGTGAGGCCTTTAGAAGGTAATTAGGACATGAGAGTTGAGCCTTCGTGAATGGGATTAGTGGCCTTGTAAAAGAGACCCCAAAGTGACCCCTCAGCCTTTCCATTATGTGAGGACACAGCAAGAAAACAGCTGGCTCTGAACCAGGAAGTGGGTCCTCACTAGATGCTGAATCTACTGGTGCTTTGGTCTTGGACTTCCCATCCCCCAAAACTTTGCAAAATAAGCATCTATTGTTCATAAGACACTCCGTCTATGGCTTTTTGTTATAGCAGCCCAAACAGACTAATAAGACACGGCTTATCAAATAGAAGCATACCAATCTTAAAAATTCTTTAAAATCTTTTATTAGATTTTCCTTAATGACAGCACAAAGACTTACATGTGAGATTTGAGACCATACAACTCCTCAGAAGAAAACTGGCAGTAAAGTCTGACACTACTCTTAGCAATATTTTTTCTGATATATTTCCTTAGGCAGAGGAAACAAAAGAAAAAAAATAAACACATGAGACTGCATCAAACTAAAGACTTTTTGCACAGCAAAGGAAACCACTGACAAAACGAAAAGACAATCTACAGAACAGGAGATGATATTCGCCAGTGATACATCTGATAAGGGACTGGTATATTCCGGAGAAAAGACTATCCACGCCATCAGTTCCAGAATCTGTCACCTGGGGATGGGGTCTACAAATGAGGAAAACTTTCTTGAGTAATTCAAATAAAAGTTGCCAGTGGTTATCTTTCCACAAGTAACAATGGCTTCCCCTCTGACATTTTCTTCTCCCCTCACTGCTGTTATTTTGGTGCTGCTGCCCTTGGCCTCTGTGTTAGTTTCCTATGGTTGTCGCAGCTACGGAGCTATTTGGATCTCATATTTCTTCTGGATTTGAAGTGAAAACACATTCCCCACATTCAATGTGACAGCCATTCAACGTGCGCCAGATAGCTCTACTTTTATGCTTTTTTTCCTTCTTAAATTTCCTTTGCAAATAGCCACCTTTGGCAGCTCTGATGACCAAACACATAAAGAGCTCTGGGTTCATACCTGGGCGATGCCTTCACCGAGATATTGATGTATAGCAGAGACAAAAGTAATTGGGGGAGCAGTCTAACACTGCCCCAAAGAAATTAAAACTAAGATGGCACCATTGCCATTCCTTCTTATCCAGGGGTATCCAACCTTTTGGCATCTCTGCACCACACTGGAAGAAGAGTTGTCGTCTTGGGCCACACAGTAAATATACTGCGACATATAATCACACGCAAAAATATCTTATAGTGTTTTAAGTAAATTTATGATTGTGTTGGGCCACATTCATAGACATCCTGAGCCACATATAGCTGGTGGGCCACAGGCTGGACACCCTTGTGAGTATACACAGTCTGTCCTGTTCTAAGGAAGGAAGCAATGCCTGTTGGACTTGTTTAATAATGTAGAGGGCTTGTTCACATAAATCATTCAAGTTCCTCAGGAGCTCCTCATCTACCTGTCTTGCCTTCTAATGACTTACTAAGAACGGAGCCAGCTTTTGTGTCTTCCCCTCACAGAAAGCAGGGAGGAGGAGAGTGAGACCACAGATCTATCAGCAGTTCTCACGGAGTCTTCATGAAAGGTGGGGCCTCTTCAGAGCCTTCTTTGCCCATAAGTCATGCGAAAGGTTTTAGCTACTGAACGTGCCAGAAGAAGATAGGACTTTGTATTACTAAATAAGGATATACAAGCAACATCCTCCTGGGGACCATTTCAGCTTCCAGCAATAGTTTTCTTGATGAGAAAACATAGGATGATGATGGGTCAGCATCCTACTCATGGCCCTGAAGTGAACACGTGTCCATCTTCCCCTAAGACCGTTTCATCACTAAACCTTCTCAGTGGTTGTGTGGTTCTTCCGGTGATTGCTTACATGACTCCCACGCAAACCACTTACTTACTCCCTGTGGGGGGGTTATTCTCTCGCCTTATAAAGTGAAGAAGGTGGGCTAATAATCTTACGCTCTTTTTCAACTCCAAAGTCCTGTGAAATTAGTATCTGCTGGGCACCAGAAACAAAAACGCTGAGGTCTCATTTGTTCAGAAAAACAGAAAATTTAAAAACAAAATTAAAAAGTTCCTTCCTTGAGCCCATTTCACAGCAATGGCTGCCTGACAGAATCTGCAGCCAGAACCCAGCCACAAAGTCAAACGGTGCTTTGTGATCATGGCGCTATCTCCATATTTGAAGTAGTGACTATAATCTGTTGCCATCAACTACTCTATCTGGTACTTGCCTATACCAGTGACTAATGGGTTACTGAGTATGTTGACATATAGTCTTCCTTTCTTCCTCTGCCTAGATTCATGATCACATGCTTATATTCACACAGAATAAGGTAACTAACAGGGAAGAAAATGCTCAACAGCTATTTTAGTGAAAAGCTTTTTGTTTTTTCATACATTTATAACAGAATTATCACCTCTGAAACTTTCTATTTCTCATCACAAATATCATGACCCAATCAGTAAAACTCATTGTTCATAAGTTCATTCATTCATTCAACATGTATGTTCAACATAAATATTTGCTATGTGCCAGTCATTTTTTAAAAAGCTGCAGAAACAGCAGAAACTAAGAGAAGGTCCCTTCTTCTTTGGGACTTATTTTCTGGAGAACAAGATAATTAGAGGTCACAGTAAGTGTGGTGAAGAAAATAAAACAAGTCATTGATAGAATGATTGATGGAACTCTCTGTGCTTCCATTTCATCATTAACATACGGAAATGATAATAGTACCTGCCTCAATGGGGGCTGTGCGGACCTAGTGAGTTAACAAATGTGGAGAACAATGCCTAGCACATAGTAAGCGCACCATACGTGTTAGCTGTACTCGCTGTGTACTGCTATCGTTGCTGTTGTTGCTGCTTTATACTGA